GCGGTTGTCATTGGTACCTGTAGAAAGAAATACACCCACACTCATAAACATCTGGAGAATTTATGCCAATGCAATTGCCTTGGTGCCCGACGAAAATATTATAATGCATACAGGGGTTTATATAAATGCATACAGGGGTCTATATAAATGAATACCCCTGTACTTCATATTGCATTATAGGCAACTGAAACTAATTATCAGTGTTGAGAAGTCTTTTTGTAGATGTTTTGCTGCTTTTTAGAAGAAGCCTACAATGAAGGCCAGCCTTTGCGGGTACATTCAGTTCCTTTGTTGGTTTTGACGTACTGCAATGTTTTTCCTACAACTTCAGTCTTACTCACGCATTAATTCCAAATTTGCATTATTAGTTTCCCGCACGTATTCGGACATCATTGGTTCCAAGAACCAGTGTACAGTGGCGATCAAATAGCATGTTTTTTATGACATCGTATCTTCGGTAAAATCAACAAGGCTGAACCTCCAGCAGTTTTTTAACATTCTCTGAAGGACATGCATTTTTGGTTCAAATTTCAAAAGTTCATATGAATAACAAACAGTAAGGTGTTCTTGTGACGCCACCTAAATATAAATTCTCCCCAGCCAAGGGCCTTACGGAATTCGTGACTATGTGTTCACTGCCTTATCAATGAACAGGTAAGGCGTGGGTAATACATGATAAGTGCGCAGTTGAAAATAAATTGAAACCTCATTTTAATTGTTCTTCTTAATAAGATAGTAAGTGAAAAGGAAGCCTGTAGACCAAAAATATTCGCCAAAAACTATTCCAATAACCCTATTGATTAGTTAAAGAAACTGCTAAACCAAGGAAACTACAAGATCAACCCTTCGACGATTAGTCCGCCTAGTGGTTAATAAAGGAAGACTATGTTCATAAGGCAGCCTTACAAGAAAGCCCTACCCAAACACAAATAAGAGAATGTCCAATTGTACCGTGGCCTTAGTGCGCAAAGGTACAAGTTCTTGACGAAGTGTTCAGAAGTGGATTTGAACCTTCGGCAAACAGAGTCAGCCACCGGCACATGCTGAATGATTTCTTTAAGATTTTACCCATTCTATCAACTTTTATACATTACCGCGACTCCACAACAAATTACACTCGTTGGGAGCTACTGCAAAAACTTATTCAGAATCGTCTTCGGAGGATGTGCACTTATTTCGGTAGGCACACCAGGACTACTCATAGTCGATGCATTCTTCATGATTTTTATGTACTTGGTA